TGGTTTTACCCTAACCCTAAACCATCCCTAATGTATCCCTAACCCTTTTTCATTACTCCTAACCCTTAGATGGGACCCCCTTAACTACAAATCAATAAATGCTTTTTTCCTCCTAACCATTTCTTAACCCAAAATGCTGCCTTCAAATATCCTTCTTGGGGCCGTTTTCTGTTGATCCCCCAAAATACCAGAGTTTTGCCAATTGAATAAGTATTGAGTAAATGAGTTCTAATCTAAAAGAACAGTTTAGCCTACAGTTAGTGACTAGAGACTAACTAGATTTGTAAATGCATTTCCTTTTAAACAATTTCCAAATCTTGAGTTCAATTTGTTGAAGGATTACATTTGTCACAAAAACAATACATGACATATCCAAAACAACAGCTATATCAATAATGTACTGCTCTTGCTGGCAAATTTATGCGTTTGCAAGTTATAACAATACTGGTTCTACTCAAACCTTTAAACAAATGTTTAAATTAAAGCGGTTTATTCAAAATAATACTACTTAAGCAAGTAGCAATAGGAGAGTTCAATAGCAGAGTAGATAGTTCGTAATAGCAGGTTGCCAAATTACTAAACTGTCTTCCAATGTTGAGGAGTAGATGAATGGCTATAGTGGAGGTTGTTTCCAGGTTATCTTCCTAGGTCCTTGGTCCAGAAAGTCTGAATATTCATCATTATGTCTAAGTGCACAAAAAGAAAAACAGCATAAAAATTTATTGAGCAAAAAACAACCTAAATTAAATAAAAAAAGATTAATATTTCTCAAACTATTTGTCAAATATTGTTAAAAGAATTGTACTGGCTTACAAACAAACCTATTGTTAAGTTTTTTGAACTCTGTGGTATTGTTATTTGAATTGAGTTGAATTGCTTGGTTTTTTATTGCATATTTTTTTGTGTCAGATTTTTAAAAAAATTGTAATCTGCATTTTTTAATTCACTGAGAAATTGTTACATTTACTTTTAAGTATTCCACGACTTGGATGAATAAACTCCTTTTTTTCTTGATTCTGTATCTTCTCTCCACACTTTTATGACTTGGCAGAATTTCTGTGAGGACGCCATTTATCCACCATAAAGCTTCATTTAATTTTATCAATCTCCTTTGCTATGGATTTAAATATCCTGAAGTTGTCTGAGAGAATTAAGGAGAGCCTTCTTTCTATGGCCCATACTCTTTGTGTGACAACTTGTTGGATTTCGTGTGGAAGCCTTCCACCATGTTGACCTCACCAACTAGCTTGGCAGGCAGATGAAAAATAGCATATAGGCTTTGCCTACCTTTCTCAACTTAAATGGCCCAAAGCCAAAAAAAAAATTTGATCACTATAAATTTCAATACTTCCAACTGTTTTAAACTACTGTTATAAATTGCAATAATTTCAGAAGTGTCTTCTTTGTTGATTTTGAGAACCCAATTTTAAAAGAAAATTGTCATTTCATTGGTATTCCAACCTTTTACTTCAAATGCTATATCACACAAATACTTACAAAATTTGAACCTCAAGTTTGTCCACAAAATACTAACCTTTAAAATGAATTCAGTTCTAAGGAATACCAATGTATTAAAGAAAGTTCAGACTTTTTGTCAGTTTAATTTGTATTGAGTAAATGAATTCTAATCTAACATTATAGTATAGTCTACAGTTAGAGATTAAATACTTGGGTTCACTTGATCAAAGGCTTACAAAGATGATATGTAACAAGTTCATATGTAACAAATATTCTTTGGAACTTGAAAGACCATTACATGACATCATATAACAGACAATAGTTTTTCAATTAAGAGCCAAAATGTGTTATTACATTTGATTGGGACAAGAACAAAACTTCTAACTATTTTTTTTACTGTATTTTTACTTTAAAATTACATTGTTTTAGCAAAGATTTCACAGGTTCTTCATTAGACCACTTGACAAATGCTCGACCCAAAATAACTTTCTTTAAAGTAGATGATGAGGAGAGAAGTCCATTACAAATCACTGGTAATGTTGATACTTTTACACATTGATTTAAGCTAATATCAACTGTTTCAATTTTGTAAAAAACCTTCAAAGATCTTCCAAAAATTTCCATTGTACTTTCATTCATATTACAATCTTTAAAGTGGATATTCTTCAAAGAATTTTCCATTTTGGCAAGGCCTTGTAGAATATTTATAATTCCTCTTCCAATATTTCGATTGGAGTTGAAGTTGATTGTTTCAATTGCATGGAAATCTTTCAAATAATTCCCTATCTTTATACAATCATCTTCAAAAAAGTCACACATTTCAAAATTGATATTCTTAAGAGTAGTTTCTGATGAAGATAATCCTTCCAGAATGGTTTCCAATTCATTTTTAATATACAAATTACCTTTTAGACTGAAATCCACAATTGCAGAACAATTTCTTAACAATATTCCAATTATTCTACATTCTTGTCTACTTAGTTCGCAATTTTCAAAATCAATGACTGTTAAAGTTTTTCTGGATTGAATAAGCCCTTCGCAAATATCTGATAATCCATAGGACATTTTGTTATTAAATGATAAATTGATTGCTTTTATAGTAGAGCAACTTTTCAACCAATTTCCAATCTGTCTACAATTTTCAATATTCAAATCATGATTTTGAAGGTTGATAGTTTCTAGGCTATTTGATGAATTGATGAGTACTTTATAAATATTAATTAGTTTATTGTCTTCAAAAAGTTGCGATGTTTGTATATCTATAATTTCTAATGTTGAGCAAGATTGAAAGAATGTTTGAATCATTTCATATTGTTTTTCATTAACATCGCACCATTGAAAATGAAGTCTTTTCATAGTATTTGAAGATTGGTGAAGATTTTGAAAAATATATGACAATTCACTGCCTAAAATTTTATTATGGTATAAGTTGAGGGTCTCAAGCTTAGGGCAAGTCATTAACAATTTGCCAAGTTTTATCCATGCCTCTCGATTTACTACGTTACAATCCTCCAGATTTAGATACTTTAAACAGTTTGATGAAGAATGAAGTCCTTCGAAAATGTATTCTAATCCATTACCAACTCGAGAACCCGTTAAATCAATTGTTTCAATTTTTAAACAGGTTTTCAATGAATTTCCAAGATTTTCCAATTGAGGATAACTTAAACTACATTCAGCTAAGCATAAACTTTTTAAACTTTGTGATAAATGAACAAGGCCATCAAAAATAGTCCATATTGATTTTATTTTCTTTTTAGAATGTGAAAATATACATTTACTAAGATCAACATCTTCCAAATTAGAACAATTTTTCCATAAATTGTTTAAAATAGAATATATCAATGGACAATAATTAATTGATGAAAGTTTAACTTTCTTTAGTGTTTCTGAGGAATGAATAAGTCGATTACAAATATAGCTTAATCCGTCACCTATCTTATAATTCCATTCCAGATGAATTGCCTCAATTTTTGAACCTTTTAAAAGGCTTTCTATCTCTTTACACTGTTCCATGTTTATATCGCATCCTTTGAAAGAGATTCTTATCACGTGATCAGTTGATAATTTTAATTCATTGTCTAAAATACGCAGTTGTTGATCGTCTATTGTTTTGTTTGACATGTCAATTACTTTAGGTGAAAATTTCTCATTTTCACACTCCATTTTTAAAGCTTTTTCCATTGAAGTTATATCAGAATTTCTTTTAAGAGTACTATCATTGAGATTGGAGTTATTTTTCACTTTATAATCAATATTAATACTTTCAATAATGTCTATTTCCAACTGTTTAACATTTGGTAAAAAATCTACTAAATCGCCATTTTCTTTTGCAATATTATAAACAAATTCTTCTCTCTTATCATTTATATCTTTAAAATTTCTTCTGATAATTTGAAATTTATCTTTTACCATTTTAATTGCATTATTTTCAAATTCATTAATCTTATTCCAATTTTCATACATTTTTTTTATTTCGTCATTGTGAAAATTTTCTAAAATTTCTTTTCTCTTTTCCAATTTCACCATTGAAAAAACATTGCAACTTCTATGATTTTCTTCTTGGCATAAAATACAGATTTTTTCTACATTATGAGTTGAACAGTAAAATGATGCTTCCTTTTTATGATCTTTACATAAATCCATATGTATTGACTGTTTTCTAAAAAGATCTTTAACACAATATTTAGGGATCATTTTTATACCATTTTGCTGTAGCAAATAATCTTGCCTACATTCTGGACATTTAATATTACTGTGTTTAATCTCTAAATTAGTTAAACAAGCAAAACAAAATATGTGCTGACAAGGTAAAATTCTAGGATCATTCCCAAACCAAGATTCTGAGCATATGCCACACACTATATCTCTAATACTTACAAAATAACCTTGGGTCGCCATTTTCTTTTTGGAATGTTCAAAAAGATATTGATTTTGCATTGATAACAAAGTATAATGTAAATAACATAGGCTTAAAAGATCAAAGTCATAATTACTTATGTGATGCACTTCAGTTCAATATAAACCTTGGTATATTTTTATCTTTTAAAATTAACATTTTTTTATTATCTTAAAAATATTGATTAGTAAATTTAAATGAATTGGACTCTTCTAGACTGTAAATTTCGCCTCCTTATACCAGTCTAGGCTGTAATATAAGTGTCCACTTTTTCCAACAATATTGGGAGAAAATGGCCCATATTGAGAGCAAATGGCCTCACATGGCAGAAAGCTACCAACTTTTGATAACAAAAACAATTTTAATATTAGAAAGAATTGCTGTGATAAAAATTTTGAATCAACTACTGATAATTGAAGCAGAATGTATCAAAAGTTTATTACTAAATACCAACCTGTTATTATAAAGTTGTAGTTAATGACATAGTGTGAGCAGCTGTGACACAATAAATTATCAACATTTCCTGTTTATATCATTAGACAAGAAAATGGAAGATGTGAAGGATTATCTTTGAAATACTTAATTGAGGACACATCTTTGAAAGATGATTAAAATTTCTTGAAAGAAAACATAATAATGAAATCATGGGCATTGATAATGAAAGTGGTGATAATAAAGAATATAATGAACCAGTGCAAGCATCAAACATGGAAATTGACACTGATAATGAAAATGCAAGCTCTAATGATATTGAGAACTGCATAAATCACACAGATAATATTGAAGAGGATTCTTTTGAAATATATGATACAATCACGCCTGCAGAACCAGGGAAGACATTCCAACTTGTTATTGGAGAGAGTCAGAAAGGAAATGATATTTTGCTTCACAATGGCTTTGCTTTTAATAGGAAGGGCAAAGAGTGGCATTATAATAATGTGGAGATGTTCAGTTAGAAATAAGAAAGTTCAGTGTCCAGTAATAATTAAACAAAGAGGAAATATCTTCATTTCTGATGAAAAGGCCCACATGCATGAAAAAAGAAAAAGCTTAGTTCAAATATTAAAGCCAAGAAAAGTTTGAGACAAATCTGTGAAACTGATAATAAATTATCAGGGAGAGCTTTTGCACAGAATGTTCTCTTAAAACATGTTGATGAGCAAAGAGTTTGCCAAAGACAGAAAATTTAAGAATGACAAATTTTAATAGACATAAGAAAAGACCAAATTAACCACAAAGCATTGATTTTGAATTAAACTTGGCTTTCATTCCAAATGATTTCTTACAGAGGAAAAAAGTATTGAGTGTTTTAGAAATTTTCTAAATTTTTTAGATTACATTTTCAATGGGTTCTTCTGGTGCTCTTAATTACTCACAAAATTCTCAATTCTTTATGTGGTTTTGAATAGTCCTGTTTAATTTTGGATGCCAGAAGGCTTGTTCTAAGGTATGAATTGTTGTATCAACACCATAATGTTCAAATAGCTGATGCTGGTGAATTTGTCCAAGTAGGTTGGTTAAAGTTGATAGTTGGATTACAAGTAGTGGTTGATAACATATGCTTACATTATATACATATGCTTTTATTATAATTATTCTTTATTCATTCTTATCCGAATCTCATGCATATGATAATCATCTTTAAGAGTTCCCTCAACCTTCACCTTTAAGATTGGATCACTTAAAACATGTATTTCTATCTTTTATTAGTTCTGTTCATGTGTTGGAAATTGATAGTGCAAGTTCAATATAATTTCTTATAGTCATTGAATGAAAAAATATTAAGTAAATTAAAAGTTGACACAAACTGAAAATAACTTTCAAAAATATTTTTAAAGTCATATTTTTAAGTTGAAATATCATTTGGTATGATATTTTTTGAAATTAATGAAACACCCAATCATCATCATCATGGCTAAGGCACTGACAAATAAGGAATTTATGTCAGTATGCTTTAAGAGAACTATCTCTCTTATCCAAAAAACAGGGGCCTTCTTAACAAAACAAAACATTTTTTTTTATGAAGGCCAATTTGTATCTATATTATGAATAAACCAAGTTTCAACGATCACATTTCAACAATCAACTAAAAAGTACTTTGGTAAGTTGATAAATGATTGGAAAGGACGAATACTGTTCTGAAGAAGCAGAAATTCCTACAATTACAATACAACAAAGTACTCATAACCTGGATAGGTTTTAGTGCCAGCTTCTTCTTCAGTGGTGTTTTGGTAGTTGTGAAAATATTTTCCCAACATTCCAACAGTTATTTTTGTCATATTTGCTTGTTTTCCAGATTTTGCTTGTTGGTTTTGGGCTTGTTGCATAAACTTCTTAACTGATTCCCCTCTTCTGATAAAGAATGGAAGGAAAACTTGTTTTGTTGCAAAATTGATAATGGCTCCAGAATTTTGTAAGAAGTCACAACCAAGTATTATAGCCATATCTAATTTTTCCATAATGAAAAATTCTTGTTTCATAATTCTTCCAGCAAACTGGATGTTCAATTTTGCTTTTCCTTTAATCTTTAAAGCTTTTCCATCTGCTGAAGTGATGGTTGGTAAGTCTGTAGTTTCTATCATGATGAAATTATGGTCCATTAGCTTGATTTCTTTTTCAGTAATAAAGGACATAAGGGCTGTTGTATCACATTAGGCAATGACC